CTTCGCTATGTCAAAGGAACACTCCACTTTGGTCTTATCTTTCGTCCATCCACTGTTCCTAGTACGCTAGTCGCTTATTCGGATGCTGACTGGGCTGGTTGTCCCGATACTCGTCGTTCTACATCCGGCTATTCTATTTATCTTGGTAACAATCTCATTTCTTGGAGTGCCAAAAAGCAACCTACTGTATCACGCTCCAGCTGTGAATCTGAGTATCGTGCTCTTGCCACAACTGCTGCTGAACTTCTTTGGGTTACGCATCTTTTGCATGACCTCAAGGTCCCTATTTCACAGCAGCCCTTACTCTTATGTGACAACAAAAGTGCTATTTTTTTGAGCTCTAATCCTGTTTCTCACAAGCGGGCCAAGCATGTTGAACTAGATTATCATTTCCTTCGAGAACTTGTTATCGCTGGCAAACTTCGTACACAATATGTACCCTCTCATCTCCAAGTTGCTGACATCTTCACAAAGAGTATTTCTCGACCTCTCTTTGAATTTTTCAGATCCAAGCTTCATGTTCGTTCAAATCCGACGCTCAGCTTGCGGGGGGGTGTTAAGGATAGTTGACCGTTCATTATAAGGCAAATATCTAGATATTTGCCTTACATTACGGGTTACCATATTTTCCCTTTTACTAAATGCAAATATATTGTATTCATTTATTATTCTTTCCTTTTATCGCTATTTCCTTATTATTTGTAATTTACCTTATTTCTGTATTCTGTAAATGATTATAAATAAGAGAAGTCTCACACCATTTGGGTGTGGTGGATTAATCAAACATTCACAGTAAGTCTTGACATAACGACTGCACAGAACGGCTTGGCCGTTGGAGATTCGAAGCGAGTGAAGCATCCCGTCGCCGTCGAACAAATGGTAGGGCCCACGGGGAAGGTACTGAGGATTCGGGCCGTTACGAATGTACGCGCCGTTGAGAGACGAAGCCAACGAGCCTTGGATGACTTCACACTCCGTCGGTGGTAACTCGTCCACCGGAGCGAAGTTGTCGGCAAGGACGTACCGTGGATCGACCGACGGACTGACCGGCGGGTTTATGAAGTTGTTGATCAGGTCGTCAAAGGCATTGAAAAACCTCGCCGGTAAAGATGGTTCGAGTCGTGTGGTGGAAGGGCCCTTCGCCATTGCAGGAGGAGGAGGTCGTCGGGGCGATGGAGAATCCGCATTCGTTTTTTTCACGGTTTTGGGGGTTTCTTCGGTAAAAACGGATGTTATGGCCATAGAAAAGGGCGGTCGGGAGATGGAGATTGGCGGAGAGAGGAGGAGGTTCCCGCCGGTGAGGAAAGGGGAAGAAAGGGCGTCCATGATCCGAAAAGGAGTGAAAAACCTGCAATTTTCTCAGAGGTCGAAAGAAAGGTGATACGAATTTAAAGAGGGAAAGGGTAAAATAGGAATTATCTGTTTCTTTTGTCTTTTACTATACACAGACGGGAGGGCGCCGCAAACTTTTGTCGTTTATTGTTATTAAAAAAGATAGGTAATAGATATTAATTTTAAGATCTTTTCAAGTTTTTTTTTAATTATCCTACCATTAAAATTACTCTTATTTAAATATAGTAGTGATTCATTCCTGTATTTTATTTATCCACTTTTCTTCACCCGATAATTATATGTTATTGACTTTTTGCTTGCATCACATATAACACCAATTTCAATCTTTCAAATTCGCTTTCAAAACTCTCATTCGAAATCTCTCTGCTCCCGTTTTCTAAAACTTTCTTCTTAAATCGGGGGTAGAGCCTCGAGCATATATCGCTTGATCGTAGGTAACACAAGAACGAATTGACTTAGCTCATTTGTTGTAGAGAAGTGAGTGCTACACAAGCACAAGTCCGCTGCTATCAAAAGTGTGATTGTGACAAGTGGTGTCTAATCTTGAATGCAATTAAAAGAATGTTAGGTAAACCTAATGGACTTTTTTTCTTCTATATATTGGTGAATTTTTAAATATAAATACATATTAATTTACCCACAATAAAAATCGAAATAAGGAATATAAATTAGCCATCCAATTGTGGATCCCACTCTATGTTCAAGTCTTGCACGCATCCTTCATTAATAATTAATTAATATTAAAGATTGAACCTTCTAATATTATGAATATTAATTGATTTAATGATTAATTGTTTTTAATTATAAAAGAGAAGGCTTCCATAATAATTATACCATTAAATTAGGATAACCTTAAAAGAAAACATGATTATTTTTAAATATTTATTATTCATATTATTAAAAAATTAACATCCCAACATTTTCGTTGAACCTTGAAAAAAAATTAAAAAGAAAGTAATAATTGGAAGAAAAAAAACACCGATATGTAACATATAGGATAATATGAAAAATCCAAATAAAAAGATAATTATGAAAATTTAAGAAGTGGGGCCAACTAAGAAACAGTGGGCCTTGTGGTAGCATCCATAATGGACCTGTGGGCCCACTGTGGCTAGCCTAAACAGATTTTTTTTTTTTTTTTTTTATAAGAAAATATAAATTTTAGAATTCCAAATTTTGTCAACAATTTTCATTGTCATTTGAATTATATGTGGCACCATATTTTCAAACATTAATGAACCAAATAATAATAGTAATAATAATGTCTTAGATGTTGCTTGAATACACAAAATAGTGAAGCTCGGTTAGCAAAAGTCAAGTAGAACTTCGATAATTATAAGTGACAAGTGGCTAATGAAGACTTTTTGAGTAAAAAAGTTTGGATTTTTATGAATGGGTCTTGTATGAGTTGGGTTATCTAAAAATTTGGATGGCCGAAAAAAGACAAAGCTATCTACGTTAAGACGTTTGGATAGCTGAGATGGGAGAGTGTTATTTCGATTTTTGGCTATCTAGATATAGCTGAAAGATAGCCAAAAATCGAAATATGAGAGGGTACTAACATAGTTATTGCCATTAAATTGGAAGCATAGGTGGAATAAAGATTCAATAGTCACCATCACACGCAAGGGGATAATAGATTATATTGTGCTCCACAAAATAAAAGGAGAGGATAATTCTTAATGAGCTATCCATTATGAGCCCAACTTCATCATCATGGCCTGCAACATAGTCGTCTAGATTGCTCCATTATGAGCTATCCAACAGTTAAGCAACACATCAACTCAATTTTGGCTCCATTAAACAGAGATCCACATGATTTTTGATGTCTTAATGAGCACTCAAATCATCCAGTTCAGTTGCAGCAGCTGCTGCTGCTCCGGCGAGGCTTTTGGATGAATGTAGCGCCGCCATGGTTGATGGAGGGGAAGCTCTCCTCATCCATGGAGGATAACATTTTCCATATGGGCCGCTAATTCATCAGCCAGCCACTGTGCTGCAGCAGCCAAGGCCAAGCCAGCCTTTAGGTCCAAAAATGAACCCATTCACATTCATATTCAATTACCTTTCTTTAGTTCTTACAATACAAGACTGAAACAACTAAACAAAGAAACCCATTACCATTTGTAGTAATGTTTATAAGCCCACATCTTCATTCATAACAGTCATTTTCATCAAATTATTGATAAAATTCTTAGGAGGGGGAGGGAGGGAGGGAGGGAGGGAGGGCATGGAACAATACAAAATCAAGGCATTGATAGACAGATGGGGCACACAGAATTCATCATTACATTCAAACATCCACATTAATGCAATGATAAGGACCTGCCAGGAAAATGGCAAACAGAAAAAGGACTAAAATGTTTAAAGCTCCACAAAAAGAAAGTTAAAACTCCCAAAAACAGGTATTCACCAGCAAACTTACCGTTAACTGGTCATTTTTGTGTACCTTGTGATTCTGGCCAGTTGAGAAATTTGTAACCTTGAAGAGATGGTGGAAGAAAGCTTTGAGCTGCAGAGGGATTGTCTGGGGTGTAAATATAGCCTTTCCCATATCCAATTTCCTTCATCAGCTTTGTTGGAGCATTCCTAAGATGAAGAGGCACACCTTCATTTTGCCCAACTGATTCCCTCACAGCCTTCTGTGCAGCTCCCATGGCTTGGTACACCGCAATCGACTTCGGGGCGAGTGCTAAGTAAGCCACACATTGCGCAAGAATGACATTGCACTCGGGCATGCCAATGAAATGGCAGGCCTGATAGCAAGAAACAGCCTGATTCAGAGCCAATGGATCGGCCAACCCGACGTCTTCGCTTGCGAACCTTACAAGTCTTCTAGCTATATACAGAGGCTGTTCTCCACCTTCCAACATTCTTGCCAACCAATAAATTGAAGCATCTGCATCGCTCCCTCTCATGGACTTATGAAGTGCACTTATGAGATTGTAGTGCTCCTCCCCTGCTTTATCATAAGCAAGATGCTTACATTGGAGTGCCTCCTTCACATCATCAAGAGTAACAACGGATCCAGACGATGATGAGGCCGTGTCGCCTCGATTCCTTACAGCATTCCCGTTGGCATCTTCTACATTGCAATCGTCAATTTGGGCAGGGTTGGATCGGGCTGCAGCAGTGATAGCAGAGATCTCCAATGCATTCAAAGCAGTCCTGGCATCGCCATCACAATTAGCAGCTAAGAAATCAATGGCTTCATCCCCAACCTGAACCCCCATGGAAATAGTTCGAGCTAGTCCCTTCTCAGAATCATCAATAGCTCGTTTTAAAATCACGGAAACATGGTGGGGTTTCAATACGTTAAGTGTAAGAACTCTACATCTAGACAACAAAGGGGTGATCAAATGGAAAGAAGGATTCTCGGTAGTGGCACCCAAGAAGATGATGCTTCCATCTTCAATGACAGGCAAAAAGGAATCCTGTTGGGATTTGTTGAACCTGTGAACCTCATCCAGAAACAAAACAGTCCTCTTATTGTTCTTGATTCTAGTTTTCCTAGCTTCCTCAACAGCATCCCTAACGTCCTTAACGCCGGAAGTCACAGCAGACAGGGACACAAATCGAAAAGACTGAGAGAAAGAAGAAGTGGAACCTACAATAGCTTTGGCAATGGAGGTCTTACCTGTACCAGGCGGACCCCAAAGGATAATCGAAGGCAATCGATTACATTCCAGCGCAGAACGAAGTATCGAATTCTTCGCCAGTAGATGATCTTGCCCTACCACATCGTCGACGGTTCGAGGCCGCATCCGCTCCGACAGAGGCTCGTCCGGAGGCTGATTCCCCTTCCCAGCAGAAGAATCCGGTACCGATACGATCGAGGAGGACAGGAGTTTCGGACGCTTAGAAGAGAGTTGGTGGAGGTTAAGGTCAGCAACATCGGAATCGATGGCAGCAGGGTCTCGTTTCTGAACCGATTGAGGAAGGGCGGCGGTGGGCGGGGTCGGAGGGCGGGACTGGAAGAGGAAGAAGCGGTCGAGCTTGGGCTGGACGTTAGGGTTAGAAATGGGGAGATTGGGTTTGGGGGAAGGGGAAGGTGAAGGAGAAGAACAAGAAGAGGATTTATGGGTGAGAATCCACTCAGTGGCTTTGAGAGTAGACTTACCGCCGGTAGCAGCTAAAGCTTGCGCCGCCAGTTCGTCGGGAAAACCCATGTTTACCAGTTGCTCCATTTCTTCCCCCATTGAAATCTCTACCTCTTCTCTTCTCTTCTCTTCCTCTTCTTCTTCTTCTTCTTCCTCCTCCAAAATCTCAGCACAGTATTGATACTGCTTTACCGCTCAGTGGGGGAATGCGGATCTCTCCTCTCTCTCTCTCTCTCTCTCTCTCCACAACAAAACGAAAGAGAGAATAATGAATATGAACACTGCTTCTAACCTTTATCCCGCAACCTCACTATCACCATCCTTCTTTTCCAACTTTTTGTTCCTTTTTTTAGCTACTATAAAACTATAATTTATGATTTAATTTTTATATATTAATTAAATGCAATAAAATAAAATACAAATTAAGATATACTAACGGAAAAATGGAAGAGTATTTTTATTTAAATAGTTATTTATTTATTTGATTTTACTATTTTAAATTAAACTATTGCAAATGATTAACCGTGGTAAAAAAAACCAAGCAAGGCAACCCATATGTGAGGACACCAAATCCATATTGGGCCCGCTTTTGGGCCTTGAATTTAAGCCCATTCTACCAAATCTAATATTTATAAACTAAAATAAAAATATTATTATTATCATAATTAGCCTTAACAAAATTCTGAACTTTATTATAAAATTTGAAGCAATTAAATATTTATTTCATCGACTTGTTAAATTTTGTTATAAAATAAAGGACTTCAAGGTAAATGGTTGAGAATGTAGGGACTAAAATGAAATAAATATATTTATTTAAAGGGGAGTGTTTTCCTTTTCAATGTGCCCTTTTATTTTTGTCCCCTTCTTTTTTTTTGTTACTAATCCATTCCAAACATTATACCTACCCAAGTGACTTATCCTATCATAAACTTTACTCTTCCGGGAATGTGAAACCAACCAAAGATATCATTTTTTATATTAATTTCGTCTTTTTATTATTATTTAAATGCTGGATAATCACGTATGATTTTGAATGGTGTCAAGACATATGGGTCATGTTAATTGGGAACCTAGATGAGACGATGAGATGCAATATTGTATTGAGAGATCTTGGCCCTGAGTAGAGGTAAGATCGAGTTGAATGACTTGGCCTAGTATAGTCGAACAAGCTTATATGGTGATTCCTGAATATGCACGCGTATATGCCGTGTGTGATCGAACAAGCTTGAATCCTGTACAAGTGAATTCGGTTGACAAAGACAAACCTTGGCTGATTGAAGATGTTAGTGAATCATAAGGCATTTATAAGGGCATTAGTGTTGAGATTTGACTTTTGAATGGGTTTAGTTTAGTGGGGTCTTGTGATGTGTGATGAGTGGTGCATTACCAGAGATTCACTCCCACTTTCCATCCTATTTCATGTCACCTTCCTCGAAATTTTATTTTATTAATTTGACTCTCGTATTTTATGTGGAGTACATGAATGAATCGAGATTACATTCAAATGAGAGCGATTTTGAGGATAGAAAAGCTTAAAAAGATGGAAACATTTAGTTGACTTTTGACCAATGACATATTTAACAAAGTTTTTTTTTTTTTTTTTTTTTTTTTATAAGAATATATACTGCATTAAAATATTCATATATTAGGTATAATTTAACTTTAATTTTAAAATGAATGGTTGTATTTTCTTTATTTACAATTTGGCCCGACCAATATACATATTTTAGTACATTGGGCACGTGACAATGAAAAATCATTATATTTTAAGAAATATTTTATTTGGTGATTTATTTTATAATTCTTAAGTCAGTATTTTAAGGGTCTTACACGAGCCACGAGCTTGAAATGAACTTTAAAGGTATTAATTGTTTTTCTATAACAAAAACGAGGAAATTTTCAAATACTTTGTTAGATTATTATTATTATTATTATTATTATTATTATTATTATTATTATTATTATTCGGCTAATATAATAAAATCAATTATTCCAAACATCTATCAGAAAAAATAAATATATAATTTGAGATGAATTAATAAAATCAAAATTATTAAAATTAATTTTGAATTAATTTCGTGACAAAAAAATTATATACATTTCATCACAATAAATCTGTAAAATATCGTATATTTAAAAAAGTTAAGACATGATTTAAGACTGCTCATATAAAATATCGTCATTTTACGAGGACAACATATAAAAATTAGCAAACATGTTAATCACTGTAATAAATTATTATTTTTTCTTTAAATACCACACCTTACCCATTTTAATTATTTAAATTTTATTTTAAGTACATTTTATTTATGTACTTGATGAATAGTATTATTATCTATGTAGAAAAGCATTGGGGAAAAAATTTAAAATAAAAAATAAAAGCCCTAAAAGTTTTTTTTACAAAAGACCCATGTGGAAAACATTTTATTTATTAACCCTTTGATAAGGATTGAGATGTAAATATTGAAAAGTAAAATGTGAAATTACATATGTACCCATTCCATTAAACACAATATATTCTTGTATATTATTAAAAACACTTTTAGCTTATAATATTATATCGAAATTTTAATTAAAATATATATGAAATGCATAAAATTTTAGGAAATTAAAAAAAGAAAAAAAAAAACTTTTAACTCCCTTTTAATCACAAAATAAGAAAAATCAAAATAAAAAAGCCAAATCCCTATTTCTTCTAGTATTATCTCAATATACCCACTAAAGAAAAAACTAAAAAAATCCTAAAAATATATATCAAATTATCAGATGTGCAAAAGCCCTATAAATTTCTACAAACTAAAAAATTAATCGGATTAGGCATCGGCGTCGGAGTTCCTTCGCCGGCGTTAGAACAGTGAGGCACCATTACCGTGATTGGTCTTGTTGGAGGAATCTGCAGAAGCTCCGGTGGTAGGAATTTGAGAAGAAACCGCACTTTCCATCAGAAATCCATCTCCAGCGACTCCGTCATTAGCCGGCCTCGCAACGGATATCCTCTGCAGAAAGTCTCCGCCATGTGCAGCGGCCGGAAACATGAACGGCTGGGGGTGGGAATGATAAAACTGCGGCAGTTGTAGATAATCAGACGGTGGAGAAATCACGGCGTTCGGTGGAGTGCCGAAATTCGATTGACAAATCCCGCGGAACCCTAGCGGAAAATTGGGGGAAATCGATGAGGCGGAAGAAGAAGTCGGACCGCCAGTGAATTGCTGAACCATCGCTCTGAAATTCGTCGTATCTGTGTTGAGCAACGTTGTCGGAGTCCGCCGTGACGCTCTGGACCGGCGACGAATCGGCTTTCCGACACGACCTTCCGGATTCAAGCCGGTGTTTCCAGCCGAACTTCCGATGATAGCAGCGGAAGTAGTGGGGACGGCGGTGGCGTCTGATACTCGTTCTGCAAAGATCGTTGCAGAGGAGGTGGGTAAATCGGAAGGTGGTGGCGGCGCCGTGGTAGAAAGATTTTGATGGTAAAATTGAAGCCAATCGCCGGGGCTGGACATGATTTAACACAGCCAAGAGGTAAAGAAAATCTCTATCCCTCTTCGTCTTCTTGTTTCTTTTCTTGAGTGTTCTGGTTTTGGTAAGAATGGAAGGATAGTTGAAGGAGCTGAAGTCCTATTTATGGTTGAATCACTCTAGTCAAACTAAACACCAAATTAATGGAATAATTTTCTTTCCTCTTTTCTTATTTTTTTAATTTTTTTAAGATAACTATTAGCAAGGTCGCACACAAGTCTTAAGTTTTTGTCCCCATTTAGCTAATGAAAAAAAACCTCTTCTGACTCACCTACTTGTAATGTCTCAAGTTCACTATTAGCCGATATCGTCTTCTTTAGACTTTCTACTTGATATTTTTAAAAGGTGTCAGTTGGGAAAAGGTTTCCAGACCCTTGTAAAGAATGTTTCGTTCTTCTCGTTGCCACTCGTTTCCTTCTCCAATCAATATGGGACCTCCCAATCCACCCCCTTCGGACCCCAACATTCTAGTTGGCACATTACCGTGTATCTGGCTCTGATACCATTTGTAACGGTTCAAGTCCACCCCTTAGTAAACTGTTAGTAAAAACCTCTCGAAAAAATTCCAAAGGAAAAGTCTAAAAAGACAATATTAGCTAAAAGTGGACTTGGATGGTTACATTAGTCATTCTCCTCTTAATTGGGTATTCCCCACTCCGTCCACCAACCTTGTTGGTTATAGTACAGATCGAAGTGGGTTGATTTTTGTGTGTATATAAAAATAAAAATTTGAGTGATTGGTTTAATCTATTTATGCTAATGTGAGTTGTGGTGTGTATTAATGTGAGTGTCCTCAAAGTCGCATATGTTGGTTAAAGCAAGTACTAGGTGAGTGGATATCACATGGTATGATAATACTAAGGTTTGAAATATATATTTTTTCTAAAGTTTATTATACACCGATAACAAACATTATATAATAAAATAATGCCACAGTAACGCCCACTTTCTAAATGTTACTTAAATTTAATAAAGGATAATTATAATTATAATTTTAGAAATTAAACAAAAGGGTAGAAAAGGGATTGAGAAAAGTTGGAGTTTTATTTTATTTATTAAAAATCCTGAAAAGACAACTTTTTGTCTTTTTCCTCCAACCTTCCTCGAGCCTCTGACGAAGGTTCAGCCGCCCAAACCCCCGCCGGCACTGTTCGCTGCCGCTCTCTGGTTCATCTTCTCCACGAGTGACGACAGAAACGGCGGCCGGCGGTTGCTGCCGCCTCCACACGACGTCGCAACCGATGCTCCGATCACGTTTGTCTTCAACGGCCAGCCGCCGCCACCCAGATGGCAGGGGTAGAGACAAAGAATCAGAATGTGGGTATGTTCATATAAGTCTTTATCATATTATTAAGAGAAAATAGAGAAAATTAAAAGACCAAATTATGGATAGAATGTTGTTCGTTGGTTGTGTCATGGGATCTGTGTCCACACAAAGGTTCATTTATTTTATGTTTTAAATATGTTTTTTTTCTTATTGAAATTTTAAATAAAGGGTTTTAGTTATTTTGAAGAAAATATTTTATTTTATTTTTTAAAGAATCAAAATAGATATTTTTAAAAGTTATTATATTTTAAAAGTTGGACTAAAATAATTATTTTAAAGGTTGGATTAAAGTAAGTATTTAAAACGTTGAAGGTTGAGTTTAGAATAAAATAAAGTAAATCAAATTAATTATTTTAAATGATTTTCATAATAAAATACTATTATAAAAATAACAAAAAATATATATATATATATATATATATATTAGAGTTAGTATTGGTTGCGACTCTCCACAATGGTATGATATTGTCCACTTTGAGCCTAAGCTCTCATGACTTTGCGTTGGGCTTCCCAAAAGGCCTCATACCAATAGAGTTAGTATTCCTCACTTATAAACCCATGATCATTTCCTAAATTAGCCGATGTGGGACTTTCATCATCCAACACTTTCCAATTAATGCGGGATTTCACAATTCATCCCCTTTCGGCGTCTAGTTCTCCTTTCCAACTGATGTGGGATTTCACAATCCATCTCATTTGAGGCCCAACGTCTTCGCTCGTACTAGTTCAACTTGAGTAAATTGTGATTTAAATAACTAGTAACCTACTTTTTTTACCCTCAGACAAAATCTAATAAATTTCAACAAACGAGAAATGATTCACCAAACCAAACAAAAACGACACAAAATTAATCATGACGTTTGAATATTCAAATTTTTTGGTGTTTTGCTTCACTTTTCTCACTTACCCAAAACGAAAAAAAAAGGTTTCCTAGAAACACATTAAAGAAAAAAAAAAAAAAAAACTACCATTTATTTGAGTGCAAATTAATGACATCTTAATCACGTCGTGGTACGAGTTATTTTGTTGGTGAGTGGCTTTTGACTCACTTTAAAGGTTGATTTAAAAATCTACATTTATTATTTGAGAACGAACCCTTTATTCTTAGTCATCGTTCTATATCATATTGAATAGAATATTTTTATTCTAAGTCATCAATCGATGTGAGTACGATTAGATCGGTTTGTTTTTAGTCATTGATCTATATCAATATAAATAGAATTGTTTATTCTTGACCATTGATCTATATCAATACGAACATCTATTTAACTGATTACTTTATTATTTATATCATTTAAGGGTATAAAATTTAAATCTAAACTCAAAAAAAAAAAAAAAAAAAAAATCTATTAATGTGAAACAAAAGCTCTAGAATTCAAATTAGGGTTTCATGGGATAGAATAGAACAAGGAAGACCGAGTCTTGCCCAAGATTGCGGTCAAAATTGAGGATAAGGACATAATTTTTACTTTATTATTATTATTATTATTATTTCATTTATTTTCTTTACATTTTTTAATTCGAGTTAAATTCAATAGGATTAATTGAGGTAATTTCATATTGACTTTTTTTTTTTTTTTTTTTTTTTTTTTTTTTTTTTTTTTTTTTTTTTTTTTTTTTTTTTTTTTTTTTTTTTTTTTTTTTT